TTTAGTCAAGGTCATACAGTATACTGTTGTACGAACAATCTGACAATCAGAGAAGAGGAAGCTATATATTAACCGAGGGCTGACACCATATCAGAATTGCAGATATCAGTGGCAGTAAAATGATTGATTCTTCATATTATGGTCCACATGATATATACACTTAAAGAAAAACTTAGGAGACCACTTGAAAATGATCCGTTTTTTCCGGTTTCTGATCTATAGTTGTGTGTTTCTATAAAAGTGCATGCTAAATATACATATATGAATTATGTAAAGATTTGCAAATGATTTTATACTTAATCTAATATACTGCTGAACTAGGCTGATCGCATTAATATTCAATGCATTTCTAAATTAACATAATACATACATATACTTTGGTTTGCCTGAATACATACTACTATGTATGACATAAATATGAAAAGCATCTGAATGAAACCAATTTTATGAATGAATTTGATTGAAGCCTTTACAAATATTGAAATTACTGATCAGGAAAAATAAAATCAATGTTGTATTTATTAAAATTGAAGTGTAATAAACAAATTGTTTGCATAGTATAAAATTTATATTATTATTATTATTATTATTATTTTTATTATTATTATTATTTTGTATTCTGACCATTATAAATGTAGCTAGAAATTTTCTGAAAGTCATACTTGTAAATAAACAGAATATTAATAATAATAATAAAATAATAATAATAATAATAAATTAATAAATAATAATAACAACAATAATAATGATAATGATAATAATAGGAATACAATATTTATAATTAATTTGAAAAATAGCAACATAATAATAATAATAATAATAATAATATTAATAATAATAAAACAATAATAATAATAATAATAATAGTATTAATATAATAATAATAATAAAAATAATAGCGATGATGATGATGATGATGATGATGATAATACTAATAACAATACTAATAATATAATAATAATAATAATGATAATTTATTATTATTATTAATAATAATAATAATAATAATAATAATAATAATAATAATAATAATAATACACATCATCATCAATTATTAATGAATAATAATAACAATAATAACAATAACAACAACAACAACAACAACAACAACAACAACAAGATATAAAAATGTAATTAATTATACTAATTTATTATTATTATTATTATTATTATTATTATTATTATTATTGAAAGGGTTCTATTTTTTATGAATTATTATTTTATAATCCTGAAAAAATATGTATTACACTTTCTACAAATTTAATTAAAGCAGCAGCATGAGGTCTTTTCAATACTTTCTGTTGAACATCTTGCATAATCCTGCATGCACACTGTATCCATTTAATATCTAAAAATCAAGCTAGTAATTAAAATTAGCTGCAAAGTTTCCTTTTAGATTTAACCTTGATTGTAAAGGGTTTATTAAAGCCACTAAAGTCGTCCCGCTGCGATCAGTGAGTGGTTTTCTTTTCCTCTTAATATTTGTCTTTGATTAAGAATAAACACATAATAGACAGAGGTAGGTCACATTTCCAGTCATATAAATATCTTTTCTGACACATCACACATTCACTTTTTTCTCCTCACCACTTATTTGCATTCACTAAACACATAACTAACAATGCTTATATTAACATCTCAGCATGATGGGTATTTTGAACAAGAAATGCCTTTGACTATTCATGCGTGTAGCGTTGTAGCAAGTGAACTTTAAATAACACACACGCAATACATGTCAGCACTTAAAAAACAACAATCTATTCACTATATTAAACACAATATGTTGTTCTAAGTACTAACTCGCTAATTTAGACTGATAATTATACTGCAAAACTTGATGCAGTCACTTTCTTGTCTTTGATTGTCACACATTTACAGAAGCATCATGCTTTTTATCTAGACTCCTGAGGATTAAGAACATGAAGTGATGTGTGGGCAATCCCATAACTGTGGCCTTTCATCTCAGCAGATCAGATAAACAGACCTTCCCACACAATCCATATGCATCTGAATCATTCTTAATCATGAAATGAATTCTGTCTCTGACAGCTGAATAAAGCAAGAAAAAAAAAGGAGTCTAACATTTTTGTGCCAAGCATGGAATCATGTGCTCATACTGAGAGTCTACAGTTAAAGTCAACATGAAATTAAAATTAACCTATTTGCTTTCTTCTTAGCGCAAGTTCCTGGTCTAATTATGAATGGTTGTTCAGTGTGTATTTCTAAAAAAGTGTTTGTAACCTACAGTGTAGTCACATGTATTTCCCTGCAGTACACAGGCTTTTAGATAATGGCAAGCAATAGCTGGATAAAATTAAAGTTGTTGTTGAACCTAGTTGCTACCTATTTCTGGTGTAGTAAAAAGTGAATCCAATGGTCATCCTGTAAATTACTGAATTGAGTATAACATGATTAGGCACTCAAAGATAAACTGAATTTAATTTAGCCATGTGTAAAGTTAAATAAAATCCCTGGTATGACCTACAATGTCAATAGACAAGTGGATAAATTTTGTAAGCATGTCTTGAGCAAAACATTTTGCAGGTCTAAGATTTATTTTGAATATTTATTTATTAATTGTAACCATTTAAAAAAATAAATAGCAACATTACAACACATCATCACATGACAACACTTTAATTTATTTAAGCTTTGTTCTATGTTTTGTGTGATGACTTTTAGGTTTAGGTTTAACTTTATTTGTCCCCGAGAGGAAATTTGTCTTGGGCATAAAAGGTGCTACAACATTGTCTAAACAGACAGTAAAAATAAATAAAACAAAACAATTAAGAACAAACAGTTAAGAACATACATTGTTTACAGAATAAGACCGTATATAAATATAAATATATAAAACACAGAACCCAGTCAAGTGCTAGCGTACTTCAGGAGCAGTGTTATTGGTAGAGTTCAACAGTTTTATGGAGGTATAGGAACAAACGAAAGCTTCAGTCTATTAGTTTTACACATTGGCATTCTCAGTCTTTTTCCTGATGGTAACAGCTGATATTCACTGAAAAGGGGCATTTTGGTGGCATTGTGTTAATGTTTCAAAATGCAACATGTAATTTTTAAGTAAGTTCATCTGGACTCTTTATATGCATTTAAAACGCATGACAAATGCTGGGTTTCATTTTTTTTCATCTTATTTTAGTGACACATTCTTTTAAGGAACAATTCTCGGTATTAATAAAAAACTATGATTTTTGCTTTGAAAAATAAACTCCTAATTTGCTGCTTATTATCAGATAATAAGGTAGTAATAGATTTAGGTAGAATTAGGAGAACATGAAGAATTTGTTCTTAACCTATAGCGTTATCTACATTTTAACCAACGCTTTGGTTGTTATATATTTTACACAAATTTCGGTTAAAACACAGGCAGTTTTAGAGTGTATACTTTCTATGTATATATGTTACCGGCAGTGTGTAAAATCCCAGGATAGAATGCCTAGGACTGCCTCGAATGCCTTGGATATGTATAAAATGTCTGATGGTTTTAGGCAAAGTATGAAATATCATTTTGTTTTTTAAAGATTTTGCATACTTTTCCTAGACATTATATAGAATGACAAGTATCAAATTAGGCATCTGAAGAGCACAACAAAAGCCTTTATTGATCATTACGTATTTTAAAGCGGAAGCTTTAAAATAAGATGCTCTTATGGGAAAAAACACACAGCAGAACTGGCATTGAACTATTTTGTAACAGTAGGTAAGACTAGAATAACACTTGGAAAGTAAACAAGCAGAACACAACTGGAATGAGCTACTTGTTGCAGCAGGCAAGATTAGAATGACATTTTGAATTCTACAGAGGTCATGTGAAGAATTATGGCAATATTGTCTGTGATAATGGTAGGGAAACCTTGTACCGACAATATGCTGTCTTACAATAATGTTCAACACTTAAGTGCTTCGATCAACCTCATCAAACAATGACCCAAGCACCACCGCCAACATCAGTGGTGGGAAAAATGGCAGGGGCAAGCCAGTTACATAGTTGTAATACTACTATAGAATGCTTATGTATAGAATGCCAATGTATAGTAACAATCATTTCATACTTTGATGTTCGATTGTAGGCATTATATACATGTCTATAGAATGCTGGATTTCACCCATTGCCAGTAGCATATGCAATTACTTTTATACATTTTAATTGGATGCATACACAATATATTAAGTCCCATCTGTGATCCATAAGCACAAACACACACTAAAGAAAAAGCAAAACATTACAAAACACCATATGGCCATCTTTAAGCTCTGCTCACAGTCTGCTATATAACCCAATCCCCCCAATTTAATCAACTCCTAGTGGATACAATACAGGTACATCCTATAGATTTATCATTAAAAGTTCTGTTTAATGCGGCATCTTACAGAAATACAATGAGTTTCACATTGAGTCAAAGTTATTGTAATCATGTCTGACATGTGGCATGTGAGTTTATCCAGTGAGGGTTAGTATATTTATGTTAACAGAAGCGTGCGCTGTCTGAATCTGGAGTTGGTTACATTTGTTAGTGTCTCTTTTAGTGCCGCTACATTCCCCTGTCTGAGTCTATGGGAGAACACTGAGGGTTGGCTCATTCTCTAAAGAAGTACCTGGCATGTTTCAACCCCTGAAACACCCTCTATTTATATTCTTCCTCAGTCCCTGGAGGAACATTTTCCCAAGGGGAATTTGTGAAGAAAAAGAAGGTCTTAGAAGTGCTTAGAAGGAAAAAGTGAAAAGACCTAAATAGAATCTTCACCATTTCTGATTACAGTTTCAAATTATCCACGAAAATAGTTTGCAGTGATGCTTATAAAAGACTGAATAACATGACAGTCACTGCAGACTAGGGATGCCAATTTCTTTATCAGATGTGTGTGTAGGTGTGTGTATCTACAGGGTTTTGAGGGTAAAAGAGAGCCAACACTTGATGTTCTGCAGTGATAAAGGGCTTCTCTAGGATTAGTGAACATCCTGGCTACGTGTTCAGCTGCCCTACCTTGTGCTTCTCAGGTCGAGTCCATGAAGCCTAAGAGGACAAAAACATATAAAGCAAAACACGACAAAAAAAGGGGTTAAAAGCCTTAAAAATAAAAGTAGCAGCCGCTCAAAAAGGCAGGCACCACACATGCAAGTTATTCATAGCAGAGAGTTTGTGAAACTGTGAAGTCGACTTGACCTGAATGAATTCAAAACCAAATTGTATTTGCCATTACTTGTACTGTACCAAACCCTCAGGCAACAGATTGCTTAATAACAATTGATTTTTTGTTGTTGTTTTTGTTGTTGTAAAAGATTATATATTTATACTTACACATAGAAAAAAAAAGAGTTTTGTGTATAGCGCATGGTTCCCAAAGTGGGGGTTGGCACCACCCAGGGGGTCATGGGACAATCATTTATATTTAAATATTTTTATTAAGCTACAATTACCATATTTCATCCATAACCTATAGAATAAAAATAGTAGTTAATAGTTACATTAAAACAACAACATGCAAATAAAAAGCCATCAGCCAAGTCTTTTTAATTATGTAATATCAAAGACACAGCAGATTAATTTTATGGCACCAACTTTCTGACACCTTAGCGGCACTCATGTACATAAAAAAATAAAAATAAATACAGGCCAATGAAGAATGGTCTGCGAGTGGTGTTGTTCAAAACTAAATGATGAATAGACTTGGGCCTATTAAATAATAAATAAATAATTATAAAAAAATAATAAAATTATATTATTTGAATTGAATATCTTAACATCATAACTTTATATAATGTAAAGACATTGGTTTTGTAACAAAGTAACTTTAAACATTTTATGTCGTGTTCACACTTCAATGTAAAATTATTGCTAGTAATAAACTAATAACTAGCCCTTTGGCCTCAATAAACTCTCAATCTGCTGCATCTTATTAGTTATTAAGACAATAGTTAGGTTAAGAATTAGGTTGTGTTAGAATCATCAAGTCATGTTGTAAGGCTTAGAAAACTTTCATTTTATGTTCTTGTTAAAGGAATAATGCTAAACCTTTGATTAGAAAAGAATGTTTGCATATATACTGAAATGATTGTTTCAGTAGAAATAAATTGTTGATATAAAAATAATAAATATATTGATAATAAGCTTGTATTATAGGGATGTAGAATAGGATCATGCAGAATATGTACAAATTATAAGTACTTAACAGCCAATATCTTAATAACAGGAGGGTAGTAAAGCCTCTGGGTTATATTATTTGGTTTAGTTTAACTATATTATTTAGCACTAGCTTTATTATATTTACTAAATAAACTAAAGTGTCACTTTATTTTACAATTTATTTATTACTTTATTGCAATCAGTCAGATTTTATGTCACACTGCTATGTATTTACAGTATGTATTAGAGGTGTGAACTTACAGTACACTGGTCTCACAGTTCGGTTCGGTTAGGTTACGGTTATCATGCCATTGATCTGGTTCAATTCAAAATCTCAGTGTTTCATGGTGCATTAATGATGCTTTCCATACACAATTTTATATATTACTTCACAGCACAACAATTCTTGTATAAAATGTATAAATATTTTTATATTTATATATTATTTGTTATACATTTTTGTCAAGCGAGTTCTTACACCCTTATGATTGGCCACACGCTCAACAGAAAGGGCTGCGATTGGCTCTAACTCTCTGGTGCTATTCACAAATAAATGACACTGATTAACACCAGTGGTGATCACAGCTGATCCAAGAAAAAAAAAAAAAAAACTCGCTCTGCCGACAGGCTCTCGTGCCTGTATCCAGAAGTATCGCTGTAACAGCCAAGAGGAGAGGAAAAGTCACACCAACAGTTCAAAGGGCCACAGTGAGAGAGAGAGAGAGAGAGAGAGAGAGAGAGAAATATGGAACTTACTTTCATTTCATTAATCGCTGTGAAACAGGGCTTCTGCTGTAATTTCAGTGTCAGTGAAAGACTGTCCAGCTAACACTCGCAATGAATTGTGCAGAGCTTCCACATTTTTATTTAGAAGGAGTGTTTTAATTACACATGCTCGCCAACCTCTCCATAGTAAGTTACCGCAATATATTGTATATGAGATAAATGATGTCAGTATGTAACCAGTAATGATCTACTGTATCGCTAAAATGATACAAATTGTCCGCATCGCAGTGAATCAAAGAAACACTTAGTTTTGACACCCCTAGTTTGTATGTGTATGAATTTATGTTTGTAAGTATTGTGTGTATGTATTCATTTAGCAGTCAAATTTTATACAAAGCAACTGTGATTTCACTTAGGATAGATAGATAGACAGACAGACAGACATACAAACAGACAGACAGACAGACAGAAAAATAAATAGAAAGGCAGACAGACTGATAGACAAACTGACAGACAAAATGACAGAATGTCTGATTGCTGTTATAGTATCAGAACATAATACCAGATCATAGGTGCATAAACAAAACGTCAAGTGTGACAAATAATTTTTTCATTAAAACAACAATCAAACTGAATGGAAAAGGACACATTTAGCTGCAGGGAGGGAAATCAAATGACTCAAACATGAGTGGATGCTCAGACGTCCCGGTGCACCGCTTCAGGTGACACACGCATATGATCCTGCAAATGAGGTCAAGCACACACAGACATACTGTCTAAATGCCACACTACAGCTCATTAATAAAGAATAATTAACAACCGATCAATAAATAATAACTCAACAGGAATACATATGAAACTCAGAAACCCTCCACAAAAGTGACTGTCGGAGAGAGCTCATCTGTCTGTGGAGATCTAGTGCCTGTGATGCTAACTGTGATCACCACATTCATTTCATCGACGTCCCATAAGTCACAGGCAGCAGCTTTCAGCCTTAACGAGAGCCATTCTTCCATTTGACAACACGGATCCCTGTATTCTTTGAACGGGACAGTGATGAGTAGTTTTCACTGAAGGTTTTTATAACTTCCACTCATTTGTTAAGCTAAAATGAATCAATGACGTCGCCATCTGGAATCGCATCGCCGAGAATTTGTGAGAGTCACAATAGAGGCTGTTGAAAACGTGACTCGAACCGCTGATAAATCAAGCAGACATGAATAGCAGACAACCTAACCATTTGACTTATGACAGAGCGACAGCGGTTCGGTGGAAGCTCGCTCTTTATGAAAGCAGCATTCTATTATTTTGACTGCTAATCACACAATTTGCGTAAAAGGGAATCTGCCGCAGACAACTGGGATTTCAGGATGCATTAGGAGTTCTGACACTGATCAAGCAAAATTATGACGTTTGTGATTTAAAAAAAGCTACTTTTGTTCAGATGAAATAAAGACAGTTTTTTTAATGGTCTTTGCGAAACCAGCTGATGTTTGATGAATGTAAGCTGAAGAGAAGAATATGGGATTTGCAAGACGTGTCACTTGTATAGTTTTAAATGGGGGAAAACTGTACAGTAACGGTCATATGGTGAATGAAGCTCCGCCTACTATTTCAGGAGCCAATCATTAATCGCTATAGACTGATTTTTCTCTGGAGAAAAAGCTCAGACCAGACGTGTTCTTTCACGACAGTTAAGTGGTCAATAAGCGCACTGGAATCTCAGCGAATACTAGCTTCATAGGCATAAGAAATCTATACAAATAAAGCTTGAAATCTCAACTTTTAAATAAAACAAGTGCACTTGTAATCTGTATGAAACAAAGGTGAGGTACAGTCCATCCTGTCAAATGCATATCACATCAGAGCAACTAATAAAACGCCCACAAACTTGTAAACAAAGAGTCGCTGTAATTTGTGGAGGAGATTCACCATCAAGATCAAGTTTTGGATTACTTCAGAGCACCAGTGCGATCTGACGAAACATTATCCAGAGGATAATAATGTGTAGAACGGTCATTAATGAGGTTAGTGTCGTGATCTCGTTCCTTTTGAGTTCACATGCGCATTAGCTTGGGCAACCTGAAAATATGCAGATTCTTTTTTTTTTTTGATTCTGACATTTATAAACGAGACTTATGAGATGGTTGTTGCCTAAAGTTTTTGGTGATTGCAAAAAATAATGAAATTGTAATCTTGGCAAACAGTTTTGGAGAATATGGTGTTTCCTCATTCAGACAGAATGTCCGAGCATACTGCCCGAAAGGCATAGCAAAGATGATGAAATGACTTGCCTTAAAAGGACTTTGGCTAAAGGTAGCTAGGCTTTGATGATATAATTTTTAAAATAGCTGTTTATTTACATGAAAATTGTGCTTTAGGGGGCTAAAATGCATTGTTGACATTATATTTAAAGTTTAAAATGATAGTGTATTCATGTAAACTACAAAACAAAAGTATGTGTGTAGTTACAAACATAACAATTATATAAAGTTTTAATGGGTTGAAATTATGATTACAGTAGGAGGCAAACATTTTATTTTATGAAATGTGAAATATTCTAACCCAGGCTCATTATGGATTTGTACTCCTGTATACAATTCTGGAGAGTACAAAGACATCCCAGGAGGTAAATTGTTTTGTAGTTTTTGTATTCGCAAATCCACCAGAGGCTACTGTGTTAGCTTTTTTTCAAATTTTTCTTGCAAGTGCCATTTACGTCTGCTGACTCAAGCAAGCCCACCAGAGGCCGCTGTCTACTGACTTACTGACTGACCAACCGATACCCCCATTATGTTTTCAAAAACAATCTATAAAAAGAAAGCTGCCAGATTTTACCACGTTTTGAGATCTTACCACGTTCTCATCCTCAGCCATTTACTTGTTTATTTTATTGTCTGTTTTACCTGTTTTCTGGAACAGTTCTTCTCCAGACTCAAATCCTGTCATTGCGGTCAAGTCCGCTTTGTGCCTCAAGTCTGCCAAGATACGTGGTGAGCCACTGGGCAAACAGTAAAAAAGCTGTCCACTCAGAGGTAAGCGGTCAGCTGGTACTGCAAAAAGGAAGCCATTGGCGGCGTTATACCACCCCGTAGAGTTTGTTTGAAAGACAAAATGCAGCCATACATTCCTCTGACTACATAGTTTGTGCTCTTCAAAAATGT